CCTCCAAATTTAGAGTTTTGTTCAAACCGGGCTAACCCAATTGGACGTTAAATAACATGTTAAGTTTTGTATTTGAACTATTTTGCTCATTTCTTAGAATCTTCCACGTGCATGTGAAGGTCTACATGTGTTTTGTAGTGGATTTCAGGGGTTTAAATGCATATTAAAAAAATTAGAATTTTTCTTGGAGCGCGCCGTGCTATCGTTTTGGCGCTTTGGCTTTAAAGTCTCAAGAAAACCTGTATTTAATTCAATGCCCAAGGTCACGGCGTGGGAGGAGATGCTGTTATTTATGCAAGGAGCGTTGTGGCCAGCATCGTGTGGCGCCGCGACGCTAGTAGATGTACTACATGTGTAATGGGTCATCAGTAAGCATGGATATGCAAAACATTGTTTGCAAAGAAATGGCTAAATATCACAGCACATATAGAAATACTACAACAAATGCAAGCCCCTAGAAATCAGTGTAGGAGATCTCTCCATACATACAAATGACATAACTCTAAATGCATCAAATGACTTATTCATGAATGGTGCAGTGATACACTTGTGAGTAAAGTTTAGATATCTAACAGTGTCTCTATAATGGGTATGATGAGCACATAAGTCTACAATTGTTGTTCATACTGCCTACAATAGTATTGTGGCAAGTATACATGTCTATCCCTTGCAAGAAGAAAGGTCATACATACGATGTACATGACAGCTCAATGTACAAAATGAAGTCTGAAGTGTATGCAAGAAGTTGGCCACAAATGCAATAACATACTTACAAGTGATAGGCGTCGGCAGACAATGAAAGTTACAGTATTCTAGAGCCAACACAGATCAACATATAAGTAACTAGATCAATCTCCTACGAATATTTGAAGGTACACAAATAAATGTAGCGGTTCATCAATCAACATATGTAGGAAAATTAAGAACAAATGCAAGCACCTACAAGCTGTTGTAGCAACAAACAACTGATGCTACAATATTCTTACAATCAACAACCATACAATGGAAAGTAAACATATTGTTTTCTTGCAAGTGAAGGTGAATGAACATACTAGTCCACTTGCAAATAATAACACTAAAAGTTATCTTATGAATACACTCAAGGAAACTAAAGAATGCAATGCATGTTCATGAGAAAAGCATGAGTTGTGCAAAAGAGGGTGCAATCCCTCTACGGTCAATATCAACTTGCATGCGAATATATCAATTCATTTTCAAACATATACAATGTAGCATATGATAAAATTGAACATTTGCTGACAATGATAGAGGGTTCGTTGTATGCTCAATAATATGTCTACAACTGTTAACCAACAACAAGTAATAAATGTAACGATGCCCTTGTAGTCAAGGGCCATGTAATGGAAGTTAAGTGCACTGGTCCTTTGTAAGCAAATGCCTATGACGTGTAGCGAATGCAAGCACCTACGAGCTACTATAAGAAACTCATCATACACACAATATTCCACATACAAATAAGATGCAGAAGAAATGCAGCAAATGTCGACTCCTAGAAGTCACTTTAAGAGGTTTGTCATGCATAAAGGCATCTACTTACAAGTGACAATAAACAACATGCAGTAAATGCTTAAGATATCTTTGCAATTAATAAGGATTCAATGTTAAACAATTACACTAATCTCTTGGAAGTAAAGGCGGATAATGTGTCTCCTACGAACTGCTGTAGAAGACCCACAATGCATACAATGGTCCATTCTACGAACAACTACATAAAATTCTTCAGTATGCAATAACTCATCCATAAGAAGCGATAAATGCCCCCACACATATACTACAATATGTATGCACAAATATACATAAATGCATATGCAATTATACACATGTATGGGCCTCGATGAGCGTGATGTATTCACACACGTGACGTCTAGGAATGCTGTGCAAGTTAGATAACAAATCTAAATTCAAGCTCGATCCTCCTATACGAGCGGATAGGAGTTGACAAGACTTAAATAAGTGGGACAAGTATACAGTCATAGTGCTGAGCAAGATATTTGTCTTAATACATTCATATTAGGCCTTCAAGGTGTTCAACAAAGAAAATTCACTAACAAAGACACCAAGCCTATGAAACCCGATCATATGTTGACTAGTAAACAAAATCAATCAACGAAATAAATCACCCAATAAATACCCTGATGATGGCCATGTTGAACATACTCAATCAGAGAGGTTAACTCCAAATGTTTCAAAATGCCACTCAAATGCCTATAAAATTCAAAACTCCAAAAACTCTAAAATTCAAAATGTTTAAAACTGAAATTAATGAACAACCACTTAAAACAAAATCTATCCACTCTCCACAACAGGTTTATCAAGGTGGACAAATCCAAAAATACACTTTAGCTCACAAAGAACAAGTGCTTGGTTGAGAATATCACTAGGATGCCTTTTCAAATAATTTCTTTCCCTCAAGGATGTAACGCGTATCTTCTAACATATGATTTTTCTGCCAAATAGCACCGCAAGTGAATGGTTATGACCGGGGCCCTCTGAACCAAGTGGTTTGCCGCCAAATGACACTAATATATTACGATCATGGCCAGAGCTTGTATGCTTCATAATGGAACTAAATCCTTGAAATATGAATCAATATGATATACTTGATAGGGCACAAAGCTCTCTATTAGCTAAGATGAATTTAAATTTGTCCCCTTATACAAACATTCACCCCAAATCTATAAGGTACCCTTGGATGAAGCAACCCATGACTGTCGATAATGATCATTATGTCAGGTTGGGTCAACTACCTCCTTTGACTAAGTAGACCGGGGACCATAATGACACGGGACGATGAAACCATGAGATCTTGATTGGGTCCATCATCCATTCCCCCACCATTCGCTTTAAGTGCAAGACGGTGAAATTTCCAAATTTAAATATCCAATTTTCAATTTTGAAAGCCCACGCTACTACTATATGTCAGATACTATGTATTATCTATGTATCTAATCGACAACTAGCCTTAATCGAAAGTTCTTTATAGTTATCGGGAGGGGTAATTAACTATAGGGGCTTGCACCTATAGGAAACAAGAACTCAGATCTAAAGTCCTCACAAAATGAGGGCGAAATCTCTGGGCAGTATCTTATCTATAAGCCCATATGCCTTCCCAAAATTTACCCTGGAACTTAATGCGTTAAAAGTTCCCGAAAGCACAGGGAGGCCGAGGTGCAAATTTTTGGAGCCCACATCAGTATAAGTTTCTATTTCAGTTAAATTTTTCTCATAATATTTCAGTTTATTATTACAACATAGTATTTTTAGTCCTTTTGATTTGAGCTATTGATATTTATTTTAGGCTACGATAGTTTACTAAGATGTGTTAGCTCATTCTTATTTTTGCTTCCGTTTGTAGGTCAGGGAAAGGGTAAGAAGCGGATAACAAGCTTTGATATGTGCTATAGGTATGTTTTGGCTAGTTTAGTTTTGCAGGCTTGACTTTTATTTTTTTTATTCTCTATTGCTAAGTGTTGTTGTAGAATATATATATAGAAAATTCATTTTTTTTGTTTGAAATTCAGTAGTCTGTCGCTTTATTTTATATTTAGCAGTGGCTCTATGTTATGTGTAAATTGGAAGTTTAATTTTTCAGTATTGGGGTCAGTTTTTCTTCCTTGTCACAACAAGCTACGGTATGACTTGAATGATATCAAGTCATATCAAGCCAAGTTGCTACATGTATGGTATGCATAGTATTTTCATAATCCTGAACAGTAAAATAATGTATAGTGATTATGTTCTAAAATTTCCCACTCAATTCTATAAGTTCACCAAATGGTTATAAATATTTTTTAGATTTTCCTAAGATCAAGTATCGTATAGAGCCATAAAGCAAAGATATTTTGCAAATACATAATCTATATACACACACACATGACTGAATTATAAATATAATTTTGATTAGGCCCATTAGATCCACCCAGTATGATGAAACTATGGAATTATGATTAGGTTAACCTCCACCTCTATTCAATCCTTAATTATAAATATAATTTTAACCACCATTCTAGAGGGTACCTAATGATAAATATTATAGTCCTTATCTTTTAATTAAACAAAATTTTGAGATAATCAACTGCGGTTGGGGAAATCTTATGCCTATGATAAATCTTATAGTCCTTTATCTTTTAATTAAACAAATTTTAGACTTCATTTGGGACGGCTTTCTTACTGCTTCTTAAAATAATTTTTTAGAACAAAATTTTAATATTTGTACTAAAAAATTGTTCTAAGAAGCAATAAGAAAACCGTCCCGAACGAAGCCTTAGACAACCTAGTTTATTAAGATGGGTAAATCTATCCAATATACTCTAATATTTCTTTAAAAATACTATGTTGCTTAGTATATATTCCCTATACCAAAAAAGGGCCCTTCGGAAAGGATTTTTGCTTATCCATATTATGCAATTGGGCATCACATAGGTGTTTTTTAGATCCCATACACCTACTTAGCATGCTAAGAGCATTGAAGCCTAATGCATACATTCCAGCTACAAATACCTATTAGGCATGTTTTAAAATCACTCTATAAATTGATGCATGCCCAATGTTTTCCAATTTAGGTAATAGAGGAAATGAACTCAATTTTTATATTTCATTACATCTCTTCCGTGGGATTAATTATTCTGTGCGGTTGCCAAACACCGTCCGGAGACCAACCAGAATACACCACGCAACCCCTTTGTTGTGTACCGCAGCTCGGTACCACGGCTTGATACCGCTAAAATGACTGCACTTGATTAACTTCCGGGCATAGAGCTACGTCTGGCCTCCGCACATAATAAATTCTCGGGACAATGCATTTATTCGGTAAGTGTTTGATTAAATTCCTCAATTAAAATATTTTTATTTATTTATGCTTGCTTCTGTTCATCTGAAAGATATCTCTGAAAATTTATTTGGCTCATGGAAATAAATATTTTTACTTATTTGGAAATTATTTTAAATGTTATATTACAGAACTTAATGACATAAAAATGTAAATAAATAACAGCATAAAAATTGCATAAAAAAATATGTTCATCAGTGCAACCTTCAGAGGAAGACAAGACAGACATTTCTTTTTTTTGAGGAAAAAAAAAATCTTCTTTAGAAGAACATATCCAACGCCCAAAAATGAAGTCCTGCAGGAATATTTAAGGTCAAAAATTTGTCAACAATGCTGAATTTGAACTCCACCTGCTTTGAGTTCAACGTGCAACATTCAGGTTTCCTGCTTGAATATGCACCAAAAGTTCCAGATCCTCTGCCTTCTATATGCAGCACCAAATCAGAATTCTTATTAGAGAAATCAATATTGTCCACAGCTCCACCAGAATTGTACATTTGAATTAATCCAATTGGGGCAAATTCCACATTTTTTTCATAGACCTGACGAGGAAAGTGCCACCACAAATTAACACTCATGAAACAAAATAAACTTCAGATTCCCAAAGATCTAACAATTTGCAGATGTTCATGGCATTAAAAGATAATGGATTTATGGAATTTGCAAAAGCTATAATGGCGTGTAAATTCCTGCTGCGGTGGAAAATTGGAGGAACTGACCTGGACTGGAGATATGGTGAACACTTCACATTGAAGAGCCTTCAGTGTTACACCAAATGACTCATTCTTTGGCAATCTGGAAAGAGAGCCTGTAACATAGAGACAGGAGTAGGATTTATTAGCAAAACCTTTACCGTAACTAGAACAAGCAAGCGCATGAATATGATCTGATATGGAAAGTATATTCTATTAAGTACCGATTGCAATCAGTTGGCATCAGCTTATGCAAGTCTCTGATTAGCTTCATTTCCAGAGAAAAAACTAAAATACAAGGTTGAAAAGGCCATTTGCAATTCTATGCAGCTTAAGCGACTGATAGGGGTGTAAACGAGTCGAGTTTAGGCGCTTATTGAGCTCGACTCGTTAGTTGAAAAATGAGCTCGAGCTCGTCTCACTGTAAACAAGCTCGAGCCGGCTCGCAAGCTATGGGCGGGAATTTTTAAATTTAGGCGGGAATTTTAAAACTTATGCGAGATTTTTAAAACTTAGTCAAAATTTAGAAAAAAAAATGAAATATTTAACATTTAAATAAAACTTATATAGCTTTTATTATTTTTTTAATATTTAAATTTAATAAATAAAATAAAATTATTTTAAAAATATTAATATTTATTAGAGCTGACTCGCGAGCTCAAGAGCCGAGCTGGCTCAAGCTTGAACTCGAGCTCGACTCGTGAGCTCGATAAGCTCAGCTCGCGAGCCCATAAACGAGTCGAGCTCGAACCAGCTTGTGAGCTGGCTCGGCTCACTTACACCCCTAGCAACTGATTACTTCATCATGTTTATGCTGAAGGATTGTGTAAAGGTTAGCATTTGAGCTTGTGATGATCTGGCTGACGAATCAGAGATTCAGAGGAGGTCCTATGAATCTGCAATTAGCCATGATTTGGGGACCTATAGAAAGTTCCTAAGAAGGAATCTCTATCCCCTAATCATCTAAGCACATGCTGACCAGAGTAATGAAATGAATAAATTTGCATGAAAAATATGACCAAAGGCCCTTTTATGTCCATAGCTAAGGGTATTGCAGACATTTAGGCAGGGGTTGGTAGAGATGGTAATCAGGTGGGAGAGACTATGCTACATCAGCTCTAAGAATTATACTATGTTGACAGTTGACAAACAAAAAAGAGCATTTCGGGCAATGCCAAACTGGCATTGATAGGATTATAGGGAGTTCAATGTCAATTGTGCCTAGACTTTGATTGACGCAAGACTGTGCTGTTATGTCATCATCAGGATCTCTACAGTTTTGTTATAACGATTGGTGCACCTGATAAGGCAAGGAGTCAAATTACGATGGATTCAAAGGAACTAGACTAGGAAAGACATAATATACTAATCTAGATGAATCTGATTGATCGGATTGAGAGCTTGAAAAGGATTTGTTATCCACTTAGTTCATAGATGGCCAATTTTTTAGAGCTTTGATCTTCCTCATATGATGTCGTATTAACTATTTGATTACAACTACAAATTCCTGATGATATCCACTTCAATTTAAATGGTGTAACATGAGATTCACCACCATCAATAATTTTCTCAAGGAAATCAGATCATTAAAACTTCAATGAGTAATATTACTTTGATTTTTCTATGATATGATGTTCAAATCATGATTATACGCGATCTAATTGACCTCCTCTTAGATCAGACTCCTAATAAATATCCCCTTCTTATGCATAACACATGCATGATTCTTAAATCTTCCATATATGAGTATTACTTATATCTTCTAATAATTTTAACTGATAATTGTTAATATCGCAACTCAATAAAATTGTATTTAATGTATACCATCTTAATTCTCCTAATACTAATCACTTTATCAGATCTCAGGTTTTAGATCTGGCGGTAGTAGAATGAAGAATTTCTCTTGCTACTTATATGGATTTAAAATTGTATTTGGCTTTGCGCCCAAAAAACAAAAAAAAATCTATAATTGATCTTCTGCCACATTATAATTATTTTTTTTTAAAAAAAATCTACAATACATTTCTGTCCTAAAAAAGTATTAACAATAACCATTGTCACATAAAAAAATACACCAAATAAACTCATATTGATATCCCTGGTTAGCAGCTAAAAGCGAATAAAACTTACAAGTTTAGTGTATATTCTTGATGTAAAAGTATTTTTTTAATTAATTTTTCTAGGGACGAGTGCTTAAATATAAATAAGCAAGCTAAAATCTGCAAATCTCAAATTTGAGAGAACCGACATATTAATGGTGGACTCAAAATCTTAATACAACATGAAATAACAGTGATCAAAGTACCATACCAGAATCAAAGGAATAGATAGCACAGTCACCAATCCAATTGTTGCCGGCCACCTCGTCAAGGTACTCTATGTCATTTGGGCTGACTTCACCGGTGATGAACTCAGGACTGGAATTTGATTGGTTGCTACTCAAGCCAGGCCAAGTTCCAGCTCCTTGGCAATTAAATGCACCCAAAATTCCAGTAAATTTGTTCAGATTCCAAACCTTCAGAAGACTGAAACGCATAAAGAATAAACTTTTACTGCAAAAGGAGACGAATTGCAACTAATATATTCATTATTTGGTTTAGAAATGTTCACCTTTTCCCATCAGTAATTGGGTCACTGAACAAACAATCCCGAGTTGGCCGGCCAGGATACTTGGCCCTCAGAATTGAACCATCAGGAAGTACAAGCTTTTTAAGTAGATCAAAATCATGCTCATTAATTTTATCACTGTAAAAATCCATAAGGTTTTCATTCTTTAGCTAAAAATTCTGCTTCATAGAATAACTAAAGGAAAAAAAAAAAAAGAAATTTTAGCCAACCTGACATAGATTCCACAGCCACCTAGAGCTCTTGCTTTAGCATGGAACTCTGCTGCATAGTGGACGCTCTGGAATAGAATAACTAAAGATAAAGTAAGAAAAATAAAAGGAAATAAAATAAGGAAAATATAGTGCACAGCAAAAGAAAAAGTCCCCATCTCACATAGAACATATCCCAATCTGGCACAAGGACCTCCCCAAGGAAAATGCTGTTGAAAGCAACAGAAGCAACATGTAGAGTCTGTGATGTCAGGTTCTTTGGCATGTAATCATCTGATGCCCTAGTGACAGCACTAAACTTTGAGCTGAAACAATAATTTAGTTAGCATGGATAATTATTTATTTATTTATTTATAATCATTAAATACATTTCAAAACCTGTAGATGGAGTCTGTACTCTGGCCCATACAGCAAATAATACTGTTGTCAGGAAAATTTTTGGAAATTGATTTTTCAAGAGCCTCTTGGAACCTATGAGTTAGGGAAACCCGACCTCCATAGCCCGTTCCCAATGTTTCAAGGATATTTTGGACATCAACTTTAACTCCATCGATGTTCTGTGACACAAGATAGGCATGGAGGTCATCATAAAATTCATCCACTCTATTTGGATCTATCATGGCAACACCATACTTCTCCATGCAATCCATGGCCAAGTCTCTAGAATTTGCAAGATTTCCTGGAGATTGCTTTGGGTATAATAGCTTTGAATTGTATTTTCTTGTTTCTGGTGCATTTGGATGGACTCCTCCCCAATATCCCATCAGGGCATGCCATACATAGACATACCTCAAATTTCATCAACATTACGAAATGTGGTTTGAGTTTAACTTCCATGGGAACTATAATGGATATGAAGTTAGAATAATTGTAGGGAATTTACATACTTCACTCCAAATGTTTCCTTAATAGATGTAATGAAATCCTTGAGGCCATTTGAGGTTCCTTCTGAAGTTGGGTTGTCACTCCTAAACTTGCTATTTTCTCTTATGCCCACTAGTCTGCCTCCAAAACTGCATAGTGAGAACTTAGCACGACAAACCAAAAAGTCATTGTTCTAAGTAGAAGAAAAAACCGGTTTAGTATACTTACTAAGAGCCTTCAACAACTGGTTCACCTTCTTTCTGGAATTCATTAGCTACATCTTGCCAACCATCATCTATGATTAGAAATTTTGCTGGAGTACCGCCTTCAGATAAACTGAAGAAGATGAAAAAAGCTGAAAATTTTTATTTTATTCTAATGTTTGTACTTAATGGACTTACATTCATCAATGTTTAATGAGTTCAATAGGCACGTGGTCATCATGTTTAAGGAAAAACAAAGAACAAGAGGGGGAAATGCATTGCAATGTCTGTTTAATCCCATCAAGCATAAAATTGCATGCTACCAAAGAGAGAGAAGGCTTTGGAGTGTCCCTCTTGCTGCCAAAGCTCTTCGTTATCTGTAATATCAAGATTTTTACGGAGGAGCATAGAAGTATTTTTTTTTATTTTGATTTGTCTGTCTTTTTGACTTCACCATGGAGGTCAACAGTAATATCAAGATTTTTACGGAGGAGCATAGAAGTATCCATTCAGTTACCCACAGATTTTAGATGTTTATGCGAGTATTCGTTACATGTGCAATTTGGACATTATGTAAAACCTAGAAAATACTTCAATAAAAAATTTGAAAAAAAAAAGGAAGATCAGGCAAACATTAGATATTTCACTGTAATGCCATTCTAAGCATTTGCCAAATTGTCGGCTTAGCCCAAGAATTTGTTTGCGGAATACAAGAAGACTAACTAATTCATAAATAATTCAAACAAAATTATAAAAATAAAACAATTTCATAGAGCCTTAATGAATAATGTAACTAATGAAAATAAATTTAAACTATTTTGAAATTAGAAATTGAGATTTCTTAATTTTATAAAATCAATCTAATTTTAAAATTAATAAATCACTAAAAATCATTAATTTTAAATAATCTAATATTTCACTTGACTTGTGAGTTAAATTTTATGAAGGTTTAAGTTCACTTGGAGCTTCAAAAATCAAATCATAATTCCTAGGTTAATTAAATCCTTTAATTGACTTAGAATTTAGGAAAATCATGAAAAATTAAAATAAACTCCTAAAATGTGAAATAAATTTCCTTAGGTCTTGATGATCTATGAAAATAGAGAGAAACAGAATCTAAAGACTTTAAAATTAGATACTTGTTTAAATAATTTTGAAAAAAATACAACATTAAATCAAATAAATCATAATAAATAAAAATATACTCAATTGACTTTAAATTTTTATGGGTTAATGGCTCTGGTTCGAGTCCAACCCGAAATTGGCCAAACCCAAATGTAGTCAACCTAAACCCTCCCGTTAAATAAATATGTCAAAAAGGTAAACACACTAGCAACCAAAATAGCTTGAACCAGATTCAATAATCTGTTTTGATTTTAAAAAAAATTATAACTGATCCACTATAAAGTTTAAGTTAATTGGTAAAAAATAAGAAGATCATACTAACAAACAAAATAATTTTAAGGAAAGAAATATTAAACTAGTCACTTTTAGTTAAAAAAAAAGCCAGGTTTGCAGGTCAACTCGAATCTGACTCATTTAACAAACGGGTTGTAAATCCAAATCCAAACTCAACCTATTTATTAAACCGGTTAACCTGAACCAAGATTTTTCATATCGAACCCATAAGGATATGTTGTTCTTTTGTGCATTTTATTTTAATATTTTGTTATACATTGCTCAATATTTAAATTTATTAAAATATTTCTTTAAAAAAATGCAAATAAAGCCAAAAGATGTTTTACTTGCAATTATACAAAAATTTATATACTTGCAAAATCAAGACCTTTGTATGTGTAAAATCAAAACTGAGACATATTTACTTGCAAAACTAAAACCAAAATGTGCTTGCTAGCTTTAAAATAAGCTTGGTCTTATTTTAATAATAGGTTTTTCTAGAAATAAAATTTTTCTATAAATGAAAGAATAAAATAAATCTGAAAAAGATAATATGTAAGAATTCAAACAAAATAAAAAGACTTTAAAGATCAAGCATAAAACAAAGGTTATGAAAATCTGGGTTCAAGGTTTGATAGTTCGAACAAGGTACCGGATGATATAATAAATATTTTAATTATTTAAATAAAAAATAAATTATATAATGATTTAAATTTGTGCTAAAAATAAATTTACTTTATAAATAAACTTATAAATTTAATATGAACTATTACCAATTTATGTTAAACTTAATATAAATTATTATAAACTATTATTAATTTATGTTATTATTAATAAGTGTTTTACAACCATATATTAAATCTTATCACAATCATATAAAATTTACTATACATAAATCATCATGTTATATTATTTAAAATTAATAAATAGATAAAAATTATTTAATAATAATATTAATAATATATATATATAATATATAAACAATTAAATATATAATTAACCAGTAAAATAAAGTAGTTTCTCATTATTAAAAAAACTATTTAAATATATAATGTATATATTTAAAGTTAAAATTTCAACTAGTTTATTTAGTTTCACATCAACTTGGGAGTTTGCTTGTATATTTTATATAGCTTTTCTTGTTTTTATCGGTTTAAGTGCTCGCATGGGATGATGGGACCATTATGGCATGATTGTTTCTACTAAATTTATATCATATAATCATCATAAAATTTGGCTATTATTAAATAAAAGATTTATATTAAATACAATTTAAGATTTAATAATATATTATATTAAATTATAACTATATTTAAATAGATTATGAATTGAACTTGTATGTTCTTAAAAATTTGGACCGACTTAACGATTGGTCGGTTGAACTGGCGGTTCAAACTAGTTTTGCACGGTTTGATGTTGGGCCGATTTTTCATGAGGATCAAACCGATCATATGACCGGTTCAAGGTAGAACCGGTCGGTCCGGTCCGATTTTCAAAGCCATACATAAAACTTTGCATTAGCTAGAAATATTTGTATGACATTTATCATGGGGTTATTTGGTTTCAAAGGCTAAGTTGTAACTCTTAATTCTTAAAACTAAAAATAGCTAGCCTATGCTAAATTACATATAAACATTGCCATCAAGTTTTTAAAGCGATTAGGTATATTTAGCTAATAGTCATTTTTAAGTAGGATTGTAAGTCTAATAGAGTTGGCCCTCCTTAAACCCTTAGTGGGGTTGAAAGTTATAAATCGCTTATATTTCTTTAGACCTAGAATTTGAGTTAATAATTGTGTAATAGTTCTTATCTTAGGTTTAGGATTTGAGGCTAATAGTTTCTCATACACTGTATTATTATGTTCTCAATTCTTGATCAATTTCTCAATCTAGCTGAAAATGTATAACTCAAATAATATATTTAAATCTTCAAGTTTAAACGTTAATATAGGATAGTTAGAAGTCTTTTGAGTTTCTTGGAATTCATTACTCACTATTCTTCATCCTTTGATCTTAAAAAAAACTTTTACAAGTTTAAACCAATCCCTTTAAAATTCAAAAGAACATCAGTCACTAAACTTTGAAATTATAAAAAAAATTACCGCTATATAAGAGAGTATTCACAAGAGATTACTTCTCTTATGATTTAACTAATCATAAGAGCTTACCCAATGGGGAACTTGTACTCCATAATAAAATAAATCATATCTTACCTATCTTAGGTAAAAGTAACGTATTTGGGAATGTAGACATTTTTCTACAATCCTATTTTTATTTTTAAATCTTTTGTAGAATACTATGTATTTTGAGACAACATGTTATTCTCTGTCATATTTGATCACAAAAAATAGAATTTTCAAATATTTAGTTTATATTTCCCTATGAGCTTGCACAAGCCATTTGTATATTTTCACTACACCTGCACTATACATTTGGAGGACATGCAGACACAATTGATATTTATTATTTGAAGCATCCTGCACACTTTATTAAAATAATCGCACAACCCATTACATGGTAATAGTGCACTAATTTGTTTAAATTAAAAAAAAAAATTCTTTAATGGGTGCACTATTTATTCATAGGGTATAAGAGTTCCTTAATGTGTGTGTTGCTTAAGGAACTCACGCAACCTATGACGTGCAACAAGTTGGACCGCTTTACTTTTTTAGAAACTAGTCACACGAATGCGACTATTTGAGATGTGTAGGAGTATGATATAGAAATGGTTCATGTGAACGCATTGTCCTTGGAATATGCACGTGACTTTGCATTTTGAGTTCAATGATGCTCGTATTCTATCCATTTGTGCGTATGTTGCGAATTCTAATTTTAATTAGAAGGGCCCCATAGAACATTAATTTTTTGGTTATAAATGGGAAGAAACCCCATGTAGAGGAATAAAGGCTTGTTGTTGTTATTGTAAATGGGGGGAAGCTCGGTCATTTCACCATTCAAGCTACCATTTATCTCACAATTCATAGTTATATGTTTAGTTGGTGTTAGGAAATTATATTTTACTCGTAGATGAGTTTTCTAAATATGTCACAAGTTCCACGCGAGTTCATTTAGTGTTCAATTATTGTCACATGATTTTCATTTTATCTTTATTTTGCAACTTATATTTGTTTTTTTTTTTGTTCATTTTATCAAGTATAAAGCCCATACAGTCCAAAATATTCATTTATTTTATTATTTTTTTAGGTTTTGTGTAAGTCAAGATCAACATGAATTTAGCAACCTCCCAGTATCTTCATCATATGAGGGGCATTTTCAATAATGCTAAACATTTTCACCATATCTTAAAAAGTGTGCATGATCGGTGTCATAAGAAACATCGGGTAGAGGATATTCTATCCCACCACACCAAAAAAAGCATACATAAGTTTACATGTACCTGTTTTACGTCTGCAATGTTTCTATACTATGTCAAGAAATACACACAAAACTACTTATATTTGAATTTTTCCTATTATGCTAAGAAAAAAATGCACGAGGTTTACTCACTACATCATGAACATCGCTTATAAGTTTTCCCATTGTGCTAAGAAAAATGTGCACTGGTTTTGCTGCACTGAATTGTTGACCTCGATACTTGTGTTGAGGTCGAGTCAACCGCACACGGTGAGTTTGGAAAACAAAACACAGTGACATCGCATGAAACTCATCCGACGTGAGCTAACTAAAAACCTAAATAGCTGAAATGACCTATGTTTGGTAAATGGATAGTGTCGGG